CAGCTGACTAGTTGGACCAGTGGACTCAATGACCAAAGCCTAGAAAACATATTTACTTTATTAAACCAACTTACAAGTATTATGAAAGAAATATCAGATGACTCTGAGAAACCTTAGGAGAACTCACTCCTGGGGGAATAGCCCCCCAGTTCAGAAGATGGGCCAGCAGTACATTAAGAGACAGAGAGGCTGAGAGGATAGAGAGGGTCATGCTGGTTGGTGAAGTCCAGGCCAGAAGGTCATGTTCTCAATGGGATCAGACTGGGAGGTGCCAGGGGTTATGGTGTTAAATAATATCCCCCCAATTCTGTCTACCTGGAACCGTAGTATGTGACCTTATTTGAAAATAAGGTCTTTGTAGATGTAATGAGTTAATAATCTCAAAGTGAACAATCATCCTGGACTTCAGTGAGTGCCTCAAACCAGTGACTGGTGTCCTTATAGGAGGAGACACAGACCCAGAGAGAAGACAGCCACGCGAGATGGAGGCAGAGACTAGTGATGCAACCTGCACCAAGGAATATCTGGAGGCCCCAGGAGCTGGAAGAGACAAGGAAGAATTCTTCCCCAGAGCCTTCAGGGGAGCGTGGCTCTGCTGCATCTCAGTTCCAGACTTCTAGGCTCCAGACTGTGACGGAATGACTTTTTATTGTTTTAAGCCACTGCATTTGTACTAATTTGTTATGGCAGCCCCAGGAGACTCATAGAGACCCAGGAAGATAAAGAAAGAAGTCTAACCTGGAAACAATCCAAATGTCCAAAAACAGATGACTGGATCAAGAAGATGTGGTATATATATATATATATATATACAATGGAATATTATTCAGCAATCAAAAAAGATAAACTCATGCCATTTGCAGCAACATGGATGGAGCTAGAAGGAATTATGCTCAGTGAAGTAAGTCAGAAGGAAAAAGAAAAATATTGGATGGTTTCACTTATAACAGGAATATAGGGGAACACAATAAGACATCAGTGTAAAAAAATAATAACAGTACAAAACACAACAAAGTAAAAACAGACAATATGAATTAGAGACATGCTGCAGGGGAGGAGGAGGGAGAGGGATCAGAGGGAGGGAGGGAGGAGCACAGGGGACTGTGGTGATGGTGCACGGGTGCACTGGTGAAGGAAATTCTATGGGGACTCAATCTGAGGGGGTGGGGGAAAGCAAATATGGTTTAAAAATAAAAATAAAAAAATACATAAATCCAAAAAAAAAAATGAACGCAGTCTAGCGCAGAGTAGGCAGGAATGACAGTGAAGACAGCTGAAGCCTGAGAGTTCCTCAGACAACCCTACAGCCTGTGAGGGTACAGTGGGCACAACCACTCCCTTCCTTCCCCAAAGGCGCCATTGACAGAGTGCCCAGGGCAGGCACAGCTTCCCCGGAATGCACCTCCTCTCTCCACTCCACTGCTGCTGGAGTGGCTGGGTAAGCTCCAGGAGGTGGGCTGGGACCCTCTCCCTGGACAACCTGTTAGGCTGGTTCCCTAACTTGTGTTTGGTGAGAGGTCCATGGAGGGGCATGTGGCTCCAGGACTCACTATCAGTTCATCTCAATCACTTCTGAAATTTAAAAAATGCTAATGCCTCAGCCAGTCTGTTAGTCTCCTGACCAGCTGACGTTCAGTCAAGAGAGAACTCATGAGGCAGCCAGGAGAGACTCCAGCAGCCAATGTCTACCAAATCCTCTCACCCCTTTCATGCCCAGGAGCTGCCTGAAGAGGCCTAAAGTCTCCTGTTATGGCTCCAGGGCAGCATTCAAACAAGTGGCCCTGGGACCAGGCCTGTTGGTGTATTCACTTGGCCTAGGGGAAGGAGGAGACTTCCCACACACAGTACTGTCTCCCCACCGTGCAGGTGCCAGCAGGTTTCTTCTGCAATACATTTTGAAAGTGATTTTTAGTGAGTAGTTTATATAAGAAGTATTTACAGACATGAATCTCACCAGTCTGCTTGAGTCTTGATCTTTCACTTCTTCAAGCGACTGGATTAGATGGAGTGATGGGAGGGGTGGTGAGTCTGGGGAGCAGATGTGTCAAGAGGAGAACAAGGTGTGTGTGGGGGGTGGGTGCCAGGCAGGAGGTGGCAGAAGACCTGCTCTCCTGCTCACAGGCTCACAAGGTGGCATCTCCTAGGACCTGAGAGGTGTAGCAGGGGAACCCAATTCTGTAAGCAGGTTCTCATGCCAGCCCCTGGGGCCTCAGGCACATTTAGTCTCAGCAAAGGAGGACTTACTCGCTGCCACACAGGATAAGGTTGAAAACCCTGTGCCTTCTGTGCCCTGGCTGAGGGCAGGGCCAGGCTCCAGGGCCACTTGCTCCTGCTGTCTCTCCAAACACAGTAAACACCTGATAAACATCTGTTGTCAGAATGAAGGAACTGGGGGGGTGGGGGGGGCGGTGTAGTGGGGGGGTGTAGTGTCAGAGCCAGAGACTCTGAAAAGGAGGGATGATCTGTACTGGCCCCTCAGCTAATCAAGGCAGGGGGAGGGGACTGGGGCCAGGGGCTGTGCTAGGTGTACTGCAGAGTCACTCCACAGGGTCCGTCCTGATGGACAGAATGTTTGGGAGGGGAGGGGACGACTGGGAACATCTCTCAGGTCTGGAGCTCTCATCTACTTCCAAAACCTCTCTTCCACCATGTTAAGAAAAACAAAATAAACTAAATAGCATTTTCCCTCTCCATCTCCAGAGGATTCATTAAAATGAGCCTACGTATGCACAGAATTGGAGCTCAAGCCTCCATACCTAATTACCATTTTAAAGGGTATCATGTAAAGAAATTCTACCTGCTGCAGTAAAGGAAAAGCTTCAGGGGGAGGGCACTGGCTTTCTCTGGGCCTCTCCCCCTAGTGCCATCTGGGGCCTCTGCTGCCTGTCAGTCTGGTGGGGTCTAAGCACCAAGACAGACCGTGCCTTTTCAAGTGACTCTGGTACCAACAGGTACTTGTGACACCAGCTCAGGCCAGGCTCTGTGCTGGGTCTATGAATGCAGCAGTGGAGCCACAGGAACCCCACAAAGGAGCGCCTATAAGTCGGAGGCTAAACGAGCCCCGAGGACAACATGCTAGGGGAGAGTGTCACGGAAGGGGGCGGAGCACAGGGAAAGTCTCACCCACACTGCAAACCTGTGCTCTGAGCTGTGATGAGTCAGAGTAATTTTTCACAGAGGAGAGGAAAGGGCATCCCAACAGAGGTGACACCATGAGCCAAGGTGCAGAGACTCCTTGATAGTGTCACTGTGGGAGCAGCAAGAAGGGAGCCCCCTTGGACAGCGGCATGCAGACTGCCAGTGGGCAGTGGGAAATGAGACTGGAAATGGGGGTTGGCTGATATTTTGAGGGACTTGAATACAATAGGTAGTAGCTGAGGCTTTGGTCTACACCAGTGAGGAACACTGCAGAGGTCCTGAGGCTGTCTCTGCCACCTAGCACACTAAAAATACCAACCACCTGAGAATCACACCATTCAACAGGATACCAAAAAGAGGTATTATAAATAACTTAATATTCAAAACATCTAATAATCAAAATTTCAAAATTTTAAAATCAAAATTTCAAACATGTGAGGTCATGCACACACACACAAATGAATGCCAAGTCAGACTTCAGAAGTCTGTTAGTGCTGTCGTGTCAATACAGACCCGAAGCAGTCAAAGTCCCCATGTCAGGAGAGGTCTCTGGCCAGCCCACCAAGGCACTGACAGAGTGCTGGCTTAGAGAGCGCAGCACAGACAGGCGTGGTCAAGATAACCGCGAAGCCACATCTAAGCTGTGCACCTCACTGTGGCCCCTTCCCAGAGCCTCATGTTCTCACCCTACCATCTATCTGACCAGGCCCACCGGTTATCTGGCATCGCGGCAGAGGTAAAACAGGGAATCAGAAAGAGGCTGAAAGAGACAGGGATATATTTGAGGCAAGGACGATAACTGGTCCGGAGGGAGACGACAGACAGACTACATGTAGACCTGGCACTGTCACCCAAAGTGAGCTGCGCTCTGAAATCTCGGAGTCCAGAAAGGCAAGCAGCTCTTCGCACTGTAGTCCCCGGTGTGTTCTATAAATATTTGTCCTCCGAGGACTCAGTGACAAAAGGATTCCATGACCAAATACATTCAGGGGCTCCTGCATACTCTATGCCTCTTTCGGCAAATCAAAACCAGACACTGATGTAGTAAAGGCCCTGAGAAGTCCCACAGTGGACATGCCAACTCAGTTTCCTTGACCAGTGTTCCCCAAATTTATATACATATTGAACCTTCTCCATCTTTTGTTCCTCAAATAATACCTACAACATCTCTTGCAACTAGTATCTTATAGATCTGCTGGCTTAGAAAAATGATTATAATTTGTCTCTGATTTAATGAAGAAAATATCTTTTTTCTTAAAAAAGCTGAAAAGATAAAGTTTGGTACTTTTTGGGTAAAGCTGTAATTGTAGGAAAAATTCACCTCTTCAGCACAAACTGTCCTACTCAGAGTAGGTCAGGGAAGTTAAAAATTACTGATCCCCAAAAGCTCATCTATCAGGGCACCTGAAGCCCCATCTAGGCCACTGGTTGACCCCAGATCACCCTCAAGTGCCAGAAGCCACAGAAATCATTCAACCCACCCTCCTGCCCATGTGGAGCCATGCATACTGGCTGTTCTAGGAAACACAACTACATGGTGTCCAACAAACATAACCACACTTATGAGGACAGCTCCCAAGTGACCAAACACTGTACTTGTTACAACTTGCCCAAAGGAAGCAAGAGAATACAGACTGAAAAATGATTCTCTCTTCACACTGTGAATATCTTCACCAGTTTCCTTTACCAAGGTTTGGATTTCAGAAAGCTCAGGGATTTCATGGGCTGGTACCACAAAAATGGCCACCCTAGGGCCAAGGTCCAGTCTATTTTCACGCCAGCCTTAGCGAGCTTGGAGAAAGGCCACTGTGGTCCCCAGGGAGCGGTCAAGGCTGCAGACCTGGGGATGCCCAGGATCTCACCTGGTATGTGTTGTCGAAGCTGTCGTACATGAACCGTGTGATCAGAGACGTCTTCCCGACTGCAAAACAAGAAGAGAGGGGTTCAGCCGTGGAATTTGAGCTAGGCTCCTCTAAACATAATTCATGTGCAGAAATCAGATAACCAAACGACTGCAAAACAAGAAGAGAGGGGTTCAGCCGTGGAATTTGAGCTAGGCTCCTCTAAACGTAATTCATGTGCAGAAATCAGATAACCAAACAAAACACCCACAGGAAAGGATGAGTTACTGAAACAGAAGGGGGAGGCAGGCCCCCAAAGAGGGATGCCAAGGCAAGGTGATGGCGTCTATTCCAGGCAGGCTGCAGGGGGTTCTTGCCAGAGGAGGGGTCCTCCCCCAGCCAATCCCAGGTCTTCCTTGAACCACAAGAACCCAACTGAGGCTGGAGCCATATATGAAGAATCAGAGCAAATGGGAACAAGATGCTCCTTTCCCATGTTTGTGCTCACTTGGAAATAACACTTTGCCACTGGTCACAGGCTGGGATAGCGGCATTCAGCCGGAGGACTGGCGAGGAAGGGGCTATTCCGGGAAGCAGTGCGCAGTAACCCAGGAACGAAAGGGTTATTCTCCAGGAGTCTCTCATGAGCAGGGTTAGGCTGTGAGCTTGTACCTGACTGTCCTGCTCTTCTCAGGATGTTTAGCATCCCTGGACCCTGCCAGGTGAATGTCAACAGGACTCCCAGTCATTGTGACAACCTTGGATCCTCTCCCACATTTGCAAATGCCTTCTAAGAGAAACCAGGAAGTCTCTTGGGAATCCCACAAATGCTGCTAATTTCCCAAACTACAGGGTTTGACTTTTGACCTAATGCTGCACAGATAGGTCTCCTGGGGCCTGGCAGTGGCAGAAATACCTACTGCGGCATTTCTAACCATCTGGGAGGGGAGGAGTGGATGAAGGGGCATTTGTCAGGTTAGGCCCAGCACGGAGTGCTTCTCTCCCCTGTCCCACCGAGCCTGTGACATGGCTCCTGAAGCCTCAGAAGGGGCTTGGCCAGCTGAGCTTGGTCCAGAGTCCTTTCTGCTTTAGGCTACCTGGATAAGCCTGGCAGAGAAATCAAGAGTCGGTATCCGCAGTGCTCCACTTTGCCACTCCCTGATGCTCAAATGGAATGTCCACGGCCTCAGCCTCGCAGGTTGGCTGGTCATGGACCAGGGAGAACAAGGCAATGCAAGGGGACTCCTCTAGGAAAGGTCCTTTCCAGTACTGAAGCCTCAAGAGCATTGGAGTTAGCAGGCAAGAGCCACCATCTTCTAAGTCAACATCGTTAAGGGGAAGACAACTGACTTCTAGCCAGAAGGGACATCTGATGTTCAAATTCAGATGCTGCAAATTCACATGACCCAATCTTAGACCCACAAGTGGTTAGCTGGATGCAAATCCTAGCTGGGCTACAGCTTAGCTGTGACACCTCAAGGCAGTCATTCTCCTCTGGGCCTCAGTTCTCATTTTTAAAATGTGTATGATAATAGCAAAGACTTCAAAGAGCAGTAGTAAGAAATAAATAATAAATGTACCAGGCATACAGAAATTCTTACAAGGGGAAGGAGGCAGCAGGTAGCTGAGATAGCTGAGGCAGTTTCCAGAAAGACATGGAAAAAAAGAAAACCACCACCACCTCCACTGTGGTTTAATAAAGAATTTGACTCTTTGGTTCGTGGGAAAATAATGGAGTGTTTTTATTATTTAAAACACCCGAGTTTTTGTAGCCCATGGTGGACCCCCGGGGCGGGGGCGGGGGTGGGGGGGGGTTGGGGACTAGGCAGTTAAGAAAGACCAACCATGTGATTGTAGATTGAAGCTTTGTGCTGGGTCAAGCTCCAGGAAGGAGAGAGAGGCTGAGACTGAGTTTAGTCACATGGCTGATGTCCAATCAAGGTGACTCAGGGTTGGAACCCCAATCAGTTCAGAAGCTCAGTGGAACATCTTACTTGGTGAACACACCGATGTGCCAGCAGGCTGAAGTACCCTGATTCTAAAGGAAGAAGGCATGAAAGCTCTGTACAACACCCTCTCAGACCTTGCCCCCACATCTCTTCATTTAGCTGGTCCCGACCCGCATCCTTTATAAGAAAACGGTAAAGGGCAGTAGAGAGCTTTCTTGAGTCCTGTATTTGTTATGGTGAATTATGGGACTTGAAGAGGGCTGTGGGAACCCCCTGCATTTGTAGTCAGTTGGTCAGAAGTGTGGGTGTCAGCCCCATTGGGGTTAGTGTCTTAAGTCGGGAGCAGTCTTGTTAGGGACTAGACCCTTAAACATGGGAAGCTGGACACCTACTCTGGGTGGGTAGTGCCAGGACTGACCTGCAGCATGACAGCTGATGTGAGAGCAGCTATACTTCTAGAACAACATCTCTGGAGTGAGCAGTGATGCACCCAAGATCTTTTCCATTTTTACCTGGACACTGCCCGCAGATCTTCTGATAGAAATTAAATTTGTAAAGTGCTTCCCACACCATCATCTCTGAGGCCAGAAGTCACGAAGATGAGATCTGATTGCAACCTCACTAAGGGGGGCTTTTCCAGAGTGACTGTTCAGGGAAGCACTCTGAACTTGCAAGAAGCAGAAGAAATTGGAGAGAGTGCAGCAACCTCCGTCTCTAAGGGAGGATGGAAAGTTACGGCCTCTTCCCCTTACAGGGCATAGGGTAGTAACACTCCACATGTTACACTTGGTGGAGGGGTAGGGTTGGGAGTAAAGAAGAAGACATGGGTTCTTTTCCCAATGGGTTCTTCCTTAGAGTAACTGATTAGGCAGGAAGGAGGAACAGTAAAATTACAAAAAGCCACTAAAGGAACAGGAGGCTCACAGGGTGGCTGAGAACTTCTACTACCTAGTCCCCCTTCTTGAAAAACCAGCCACTGGCAGTGGATTAGTACTGGCTCAGAGGGTGACCTCTAGTTAGAAGAAAATTCCAATAAAACAACTTGCTTGTTGGAACTGTGCAGGATGGGGCTTTTGGATGCCAGTCCCTTCCAGTGGCACTATTTTTCAGTATTCCCACAAAAACCGTTAACAGGTAGCACCAAACCCTGCATTTACAGAGAAGATTCCAGGTCAGCGGAAGAGACAGGCCACCTACCTGCCTGAAGATCACAGGAACTCAGAACTCAGTCCTTACCACCACCCAGTTTGGTCCTCAGCTCTGAAGTGGGTACTCAAGCCACCCCCATTTTATACAAGGGGAGATGAGCTGACAGCTGCTTGTCCATGGCAGCTGTAGGACCAGGATGGAGGGGCCTGGACAGGAACTGAGCTCCTCTCCCTGACTCTCTTTAGTATCCGTGGGTCACACTGGGTTCCAAGGTTCTGCCAGGGCATTACTGCCTCCACTGTGGATGGCATGTTGCTCCCAGGAACGGATTCTGCCAAGTCAAAGCACCTTTTCTTTGGGACTGGCTGGAATGGGGCCGCTCCCCACTCCCTAAGTGCTTGGCCCAATCTGGAAGGTCAGAAACTAAGAACCAAAGTATCTTAGTTTGGGACCAAGAGACCAAGGGACCAAGAGAGCACAGAAAGGGAAGTGAGCAAGTCTGAAGAACCCCAGCTGAGCTCTGGACCTGATCGCAGAATCACTACTGATGTTACTATTCCACTGGGCCCATTTTTCTCAGAGCAGAAGCTTCCTTTTTCCTGCCTCAGGATGTCCCCCAAATCACCCCTTACTCTCTCCACAGCTACCAGATTGGCCTTCCTGTTTAGACACCTCCAATTCTCTAAGTCTCCTATAACTTTGGACCCAAGGCCCACCAAGACCCTCCCCATCTACACCGTCAAATCAGCCATCATCCTCCTCTCCAAAGTGCATGGCAAGTCCAGGTGTAGCCCTGACGACCTCCAGAAGAGCCCTGCTCACTCCAGGGAAATGCAGGTGTCCTCTCTCCTGGGAAGTAGTCCCTGAGAGCCCCCACCCCCATTCCCTGGGCGTGTCCTGTTCCACATCTCCAAATTGAGCAAGTCTAACCATAGGGCCCTGAGCTCCAGGGTGGGGCTCACCCATCTCCAAAGCCTGGGCAACACTGGCCGACACGAACTACAGAAACAGCATCCTCTACACTGGCCTCTGGGAGGCTTCCTAGAGCCCTGGGCAGAGCTTAGTAAAGGAGCCCTTTTCTGCTGGCCAGCCTCCCCATAAAGGAGCTCCCCATACAAGGGCTGCCCTCTGCCAAGCTCCTCTCCCCGCTACAGAGCAGCAGCCCCCTCTCACCCCATGTCTTACCCCCAACAACCGCCCTGGGTAAAGGTGCTGAAATGGAGAGCTTGTAGAGCCCATCCACCAGGCCACTCTCAGTCTCGCCATGAAGGGCGGCAGGACAGCTGGAGTCATCACCTGACTGGGCACTACCATTTGGCTGCAGCAGAGGGTAGGCCCGAGGGGGCAGCAGCACCCAGCACTTGAACATCTTGGCCAGGGCTGGATGAGTGGGAGGGGCGAAGGCCCTCCCCTGCGACCTCTCCTGCCCCCTAACCAGCCCCTGGAGCCCCAGAGAGCTGTCCTGCACACACAGCCCTGTTCTCAAGGTCACACTGCACTGCATCCCTCCAAACAGCAGCTCCTGAACACCACTGTGCAAAGCAGAGCTTTTTCTGAATGTAAGGTTTCAGCTCTGCTAGCAGGATTTTATTAAAAATAAGCAGGCAGATCACTAGTGAGCTTTTTATTCTCTCTCTTCATGGCTCAACAATATTCTTGTAATCTTCTGGTAGTTTAGTCCCACATGATTAAGCAGGGAGATGCATTTTTCCCCTTTCAAGCAAAAGAGGGTGAAAAAATTCATTACTGAGTATTTACTGGGAACCTTTAAGAAAGAAAAAAAGGAAAGTCTGTCTAACTCTTACTGGGCTTCTACTCAGTGCCAGACAAGAAGTGAGGTGCTTCACTTAGGTTCCCTCATCACAACCCAATGAATTAGTAATGATCCCTAAGGTCACGGGGCCGGTAAACGGTGGAGAAGCCCACATGGGATGCCAGAGTCTTCTCTCATGCATGATGTCGGGTTGGTTCATGGAAAGGTC